CTAGATTAATTTTCTTCTTCTTCTTCTTCTTCTTCTTCTTCTTCTTCTTCTTCTCTTCTTCTTCTTCTCCTCCTCCTCCTCTTCACCCTCCTCCTTCTTATTATTCTCCTCCTCCTCCTCCTTCTGCTTCTTCTTCTTCTAAATTCTTCGTATTTTTATATTCTTTTAATTAAAAAAAAATCTTCATTTTCTTCTAATTCCTGTAAATTTTGTCTTTTTCTTCTAAATCTTTCTTCTTCTCTGCCTAATTTTTCTAAATTCTTCTAAATTCACATTATTTACATCATTCGGACTATTGTCCTCATCTTTGTCGCCATATTTGTCACAACGTTTCGGCCGTTGTGGTTGGAATGTCGAACTGAACCCTTTATTTCGCTCACTGGGGTAGAATGTTCTAGTTCCACGTGCCATGTTTAATGGATGTCAGTTATCAGTTATCTCCTGTTAATTTTCACCCTGAAAGTTCTCCACTGCCAAACGTTGTAATAAATATGGTGACAAAGATGAGGACAGTAGTCCGAATAATGTAAATAATGTACATAATACCTCATCTCAGAAATATAGACAGATACTGAAAGGCTGAAACGTTGTAATAAATATGGCGACAAAGATGAGGACAATAGTCCGAATAATGTAAATAATGTACATAATACCTCATCTCAGAAATATAGACAGATACTGAAAGGCCGAAACATTGTAATAAATATGGCGACAAAGATGAGGACAATAGTCCGAATAATGTAAATAATGTACATAATACCTCATCTCAGAAATATAGACAGATACTGAAAGGCCGAAACATTGTAATAAATATGGCGACAAAGATGAGGTCAATAGTCCGAATAATGTAAATAATGTACATAATACCTCATCTCAGAAATATAGACAGATACTGAAAGGCCGAAACGTTTTTATAAATATGGCGACAAAGATGAGGACAATAGTCCGAATAATGTAAATAATGTACATAATGCCTCATCTCAGAAATATAGACAGATACTCATCTAAATTTCTCTAAATATTTCTTCTTCTTTTTAAAGTTGATCTGTTTTTTTTTCTAAATTCTTCTGATTCCTATTCATTCTACTATTTCGCCTAATTTTTCCTAAATTCTTCTTCTTCTTCTTCTTCGCCTTCTTCTAATTTCTCTAAATCTTTCTTCTTTTTTGCTTAAATTTTAAAATTCTTTCATTATATCTAAATTCTTCTTATTCTTATTCTTTTTCCAAAATCATTTTTTTTTCGAAATTTTTCTTCTTTCTTGTCTAGTTTTTTCTAATTTCTTCTCCTTCGTCTTCTTTTCTTCTTCGCCTTCTTCTTCTTTTTCTTCTTTTTCTTCTTCTCCTTCGTCTTCTTCTTCTTCTTCTAATTCCTCTAAATCTTTCTACTTTTTTGCTTATATTTTGAAATTCTTTCATTGTATCTAAATTCTTCTTTTTCTAAATTCATCTTTTTTCTTCGAAATTTTTCTTCTTCCTTGTCTAGTTTTTTTTCTAAATTCTTCTTCTTCTTTTAATTCTCTTGATCCCTTTAACTTTTACTCTTTTTCTAAATTCTTCCTCTCCTTGTAAACCTTCTTTAAAGTCTTTTTCCTTCATGAAATTTTCTAAAAGCTTTTAGTTTCTCTCAATCCTTCTCCTCCACCTCCTCCTCCTTCTTCTTCTTCTTCTTCTCCTTCTCCTTCTTCTTTCTCATTCTTCATTCCACCTTTTAGAAACATCATCATCGTCATCATCACTTGTAACCTAAATAAACTCCATCCAATTCCTCACCTCAGCGTCTTCAAGTGAAGTCAAAGTCACCAGGAAATGTCAGATGTAATTGTTAAAGTAGGCGGTCCGACATCATCCATTCTATGTTCATCGACACTTTCCACGCCCTTTCCCCACGACCAGCAATTTCTTTCGTTCCTGTCTCCCCGTTCCTGTCTCCCCGTTTTTCCACCTCTCCTTCTCTCTCTCTCTTCTTCTTTCCTCTCCCTTCCTTTCTTCCTTCTCAGAAATGCAAAAATATGCCTCGGTGTATGTTAAACGGTAATCAGTATTTTTTACAATATATATATATATATATATATATATATATATATATATATATATATATATATGTGTGTGTGTGTGTGTGTGTGTGTGTGTGTGTGTGTGTGTATGCGACAGGTATTTGAGAACGTATTATTATTTAACGGGCCAGAAATGAAATTCGATCTAACTTAAGATTATGTAGCGGGCGCCAAATTTTAACGTTTTCGTTTCTTTTAAACGTACCGAGAGTATCAAATGACCCCCTTTGAGTCTGACACAGGAAATGCTCGTGGGTCCTGTCGCTACCAATTAGGTCACAGGTAACTAGACCCTTCGTGCAGAATATTCTTTTATGCGACGTGCCCCTTCACGGAGTTGGCGATCACGGCTCTCTACAGCTTCCTACCCTTTGTAGCTTTTAACAAGGTTTGCCTTCTCACCATCTGTACATGTCCCTGGTCTTCCATCCATTTACGCAAGCTCCTTAGGCAGGTTCATAAACTTTTTCGCCCTGTCCCGCTTGCCTTTAGTGAGTGTCAAATTCTCCAAGCCTTCCTTCCTCATTATGTCCCCTAGAAATTTTGAATTGTTTCTTTCTTATTCTAAATATAAAATTTTTTTTCCTAAAATTTCCTCGATTTATGTTCAGTCCTAGATAAGCAACGTTGGTTGGATGATTTTGTTTAGCGGCATATCAATACCTCTAAGGGCTATTTAATGTCGAAATTAATTTTTCACAATTTTATAGCTTCAACTAATATTTTGAATGCAATTGTATGCCTTTAACTACAGATAAAATGTATTGTTGGTTATTTTGCTATAAAATGTATTGTTGGTTATTTTGTTATAAAATGTATTGTTAGTATTTCTACTATAAATAGATGTTGTTGGTAATTCGACTATAAAATGTATTGCTGGCCATTTTGCTTTAAATGTTGGTGATTTTACTATAAATGTGTATTGTTGGTAATTTTGTTTATATAAATTATATTGCTAATATTTTTACTATAAAAACGTGTTTTTTTATACTTTCATAGTGTTTTGTTTTTGTCTGGAGGGTTCACTGTTTTTCCATAGCTGGGACCCTACCAGTTGCTACCACTCTAGGTCAAGGTGGCTCTGGGAACAAAAGCAGTTAAGAGGTAGTTCCACACTCAACAAAACTCCCAATATTCTGATCAGAGGTCTTTCTGTCGCATGTAGTTTATCGTCATACCCAGCACTAGGTAAGCAATGTCTAACGTCAGAACCTAGATGTAAAAGTGGAATCGCCGAGTCGACTTTAAATTCCGTTGTTCTTGTTGTAAATTACCCACTTTTCATCGACCGGTACAACTTGTTTCAATTACGAAGGGTTTCATTAACTTTAAGTAGTGAATTGCACATAGAAGTCAGGTCCAGTAGTCCTTTTTTTAATCACTTATTCCAAAACAAGACGTTAATGTCGCTAGGATGCAGGACTTTACAGGGGTGAAAGAGAATGAGAAAACTTTAGTGAGGAAAAGGAAAATAAAGAGACAAGATTCAGAAGATAGCGACAGACGTTCTATTTATTGTTTACACTCCTACTTTATTCCTTGTTTCCTTTTTAAAGCTGGGTTTCCGGTTCCTTCTAAAGTATTCTTATTCTCTTTCACTCCCAGTAGACTCTTGTATCTTAGTGGCTTTATCACCTTGCTTTGGGTGAATTGATTGTTTATTTTTATTAATGCTGTTGGTCAGTATTTATCGAGAGCGATAAGGGTGAGGATTATTAACCTGTTATTTTGGCGCAGCACAGTCATTATCCATACATGTCACACTTGAGCGTGAAACGACATTCAGCGACAAATTTCGCACTATGTGATATCAATCCTCTGGCATGACAGTGAATGCTGGACATTCTCACCCCGGATGAAGAGGTAAGTGGAGGCAACGGAAATGGGGATGAAAGGATACTAAGAATTCTATGGAGAGAAGGATACTGAGAATTCTATGGAGAGAAGGATACTGAGAATTCTATGGAGAGAAGGATACTATGAGAATACTGAGAATTACGGACTAGAAGGATACTGAAGAAAACGGTAACAAATAAACATTTATGCCCAGAGTCAGGAAAGAGACAGCTGAAATTTCTTGGACATATAACGAGGAAGCAGGGTTTGGAAAACTTAATCCACACAAGAAGAAAAGAGAGAAAGGAGAAGGCAGCAGTCGTAATCAAATAAATAAAAACAAATTATTAAATTAGGCAACCTCGAAATATCCAGTTTATAACTTAAAGACCAAATTCTTCCAGCAGAACAGACATACCGTGTGTTACAGTAAAACTGTTCAAATCGTGTAACAATATGGAATAATTCTACATCCGACAAAATATTTAATATCTAAAAAAAAAAAAAAAAAAAAAAAAAACTCTAAACTAATTTAGCTTCTTTTTTACAGATTTTTAGGTAAGGTATTTAGCCATCCTGACACCATTTGTCATAAGAATCACTGAAAAACAATTTGAGTTAGTTATTCAGCTAGAAGGAGGGCAAGTTAAAATCGTTTTGTACCAGCTCCAATCTCTTCCCCACTGAGCAATGGTGAAAGGAAAAAGATCATTCAGGCATTAAGAAATGGTACCAACATTTATACTCTGGCTGCTGTCTTCAAAGTCCATTCAAGAACCATCAAAAGAACGGTGAATAATTTAAAAAAAAAGAGGGAACAGTTGAAATGAAAACTGGATCAGGAGGTCAAAACAGCAAGAGGGATTATCATTTCAACTTAGAGGTAAATACATTCTTGTTGTTCAAAATAGAGTCCAATAGGGTTATAAAAAACGTCGGAGAATTTCATCAAGATAGCTTTAATCATTTCTAGGATACAACGGTTCAAAGCTTAATCTATCAATTTGACAATTTTGCTGTTACAGCTGGTATGACGAAACCAAAACGAATTGAAACTCGGCTCTCCGATTAACCATTCCTAGCCGTTATCTATTACACAACCAACAAGTTTACAGCACCTGGAAATCCCAAGTGGTAACACATCGAAATACTGACCAGACTCGACGTAGCTTAACTGCGGTGATCGTACTAGAACCAGTGTCAATATGATGTGGCCGTCAGCCGTATATACTGTCTGAGACTTACCAATGTCTTTTATTCATGATTCTTCTGTTAGGCTTGGAGAGTAGTTATATATTCTTATTGTTCAAAGTAGAGTCCAATAATGTTAAAAAAAACCTCGGAGAATTCCAGTAAGGTATCTTTAATCATTTCTAAGTTCTAAGTTCAATGCTTAATCTAACAATTGGAAAATTTTCCTGTAATTCCTTGTATGTGTTTTTTTTACTCATATTCTCTTAAACTCAGTAATCCCTTGCTTCGTTGTCTTGCTTGGGGTGAGTTTTTTTTTATTTTGAAAATAATATACTTTAAAGGTTATTTATGAAATATTTTCATAATTTATTAAATAATCATTATGGACCTCTTTTGACAGATTCTATCTTTTCTGGGGCGTTCTTCATTTACAGTTCAAATCGAGTTTTGAGTTTTAATCAGGTTTTAGAAAAATGCCGGAATGACCGCCTAAGTTTCTTTCATCTTCTAAGTTAGACTCAACAAACATATTTAACAATTTAAAAAAAAACACGCTGATATGGCAGCTGTCGCAATAGAATCAAAAGGTATTTTTTTTTTTGATGACGTTAGTTAACATTAATGCTAGAACAAAGGACAGAATGAATATTGGAGGTTGCTCAGTAAATCAATGTCGATAATGAATGTCTGCACAGTAAGAATAACGACTGATCAAAAACAGATCGAAAGAGGAAAGACACTGTGTGGGGTCAGGAATAAAAGATAGTGATGAAAACTAAGATAGATAGATAGATAGATAGATAGATAGATAGATAGATAGATAGATATGAATAAACGGTGATAGATATGAATAGTGATAGATATGAACATAGATTAATACAGATGAATGGATTGAGAGAAATAGATAGATAGATGATATGAGCTGAGATAG